TATTAAATAAAAATTATTATTATTATTATTATTATTATTATTATTCTTTTTCAACAAGTTCAAGCAATGGGATGTCGTTCCTGGGAATCTACGTGTGGGTAGCCTTTTACAAAACTACATATCACGTAGAGCTCATGGGTCCTACTCATGCTTTTTAAACTTTGTATTTTTAATGTTTTCTCCTGTTTTAACTTGGACTGTTTTAGATTTGTTAGCTGCCTTGAGTCCTTGTGTTGGGAGGAAGATGGGATATTATTATTAATAATAATAATAATAATAATAATAATAATAATGACTGGTTCTGCAGTAGCCAAAATTCCTTTTCAGCTTTCTTCGGTTAAACTCCTGCACTCCTGTCTGTCCCTGGCTTCCACTCCACCATAAGCATCTGTCTGAAGAAGTAGACTAAAGTCTACAAAAGCTCATGCTACAAACATCTTTTTTTCCAGTTAGTCTCAAAGGTGCTACAAAATATCTCTCTCTATATATTTTCTGATCTCTGTGACTTGATATAAGGAAGCTTCCCTCCCCTGTGTTCCTTAGAATCATAGAATTATAGAGTTGGAAGAGACCACAAGGACCATCTAGTCCAACCTCTGCCATGCAGGAACTCCCAGTCAAAGCATCCCCGACAGATGGCCATCCAGCCTCTGCTTAAAGACCTCCAAAGAAGGAGACTTCACTGTCAGGAGTCAGGAAGTTCCTCCTAATGTTGAGGTGGAATCTCTTTTCCTGGAGCTTGCATCCATTGTTTTGGGTCCTAGTCTCTGGAGCAGCAGAAAACAAGCTTGTTCCCTCCTCAATATGACATCCCTTCAAATATTTAAACAAGGCTATCATATAACCTCTTAACCGTCTCTTCTCCAGGCTAAACATCCCCAGCTCCCTTCTTTTCTCTTTTCTTCTCTTTCTTGACTTGACTTGAGACTTAACTTCTGCATCAGTAATTTCTTGTCTTGATTACAGTAATTTTCTTTTAACCAGTCTTCCATTATCTCATCTTAGTCCCCTAGTTTCTACCCAGCATTCTGCTGCTAAGATTATCTTTCTAGCTTGCTGTTTTGATCATGTCACTCCACTCTTTGATGTTACTTCAGTGGCTGGCTTCCAGTTTAAGCTTCTTGTTCCAATGTTTAAAGTCTTGTGGCATAGTGGTTTGAGTGTTGGACTATGGCTCTGGTAACCAGGGTTCAATTCCCTGCTCAGCCATGAAACCCATTGGGTGACCTTGGGAAAGTCACAGAATGGCAATGGCAAACCTCCTGTGGACAAATCTTGCCAAGAAAAATCCAGGATAGCTCACCTTAGGATCACCATAAGTCGGCTAGAAGACACACAACACACACACACTCACAGCTTGGCTGAGCGTAAATACTCTGAAGGCACCAACTCCTGTCTGATTTTGGAAGCTAGTATTTGGATGGGAGACACCCAACAAATACCAGGTGGTGTTGGTTATATATTTCAGAGGAAGGAACTGGAAAAACCACTTCTCAGTATTCCTTGCCTAAGAAAATTCATGGGGTCACCACAGGCAACTTGAAAGCACATACACACAGTTATGACTTAGCTCCTACCATCCCATCTTTCACCCTCTATTTTTCATTATTGCCTCTCTTGGGATCTTCATTCTTCAAACTCCACATTTCTTAACCAAATCAGGGGTTTTGGATCCTTAGTTTGGCTTCATCCTTTCTCCCCTGCTGATCTATAGTCTTGGAATTGTCTTCCCAAATACCTGCAGAATGCTCCTTCAATTATTATTTTCATGGTGGCAAGAAAAAAACTGTGAATCCTAATGATTATTATGTAAATTCCACAGATTAAAAAAAATGATCGTCAACTTTGCAGACTGCTAGAAATAGTGCAAATTGAGTCCACTTTAAGGGTTAGGGTTAGGGAATCATGGGAACTGTATTTTATTGTGGCACCAGAGCTCTCCGACAGAGAAGGCTCAATGTCTCAGAAAAAAAATTCCCATGATTCCCTAGCACTAACCCTAACCCTTAAAGTGGACTCAATTGGCACTATTTCTGGCAGTCTGCAAAGGCCCTTTGTGAATCAAAACCAGCCCTTTTCTAAATATTCAATCAGGTTTATATTAACCATATCTTATAAAATAAAATGATGTATAAATTAGGAAAACAATGAGTATATGTCGAAACGCAACATGCCATAGTCAAAAGACATCTCTGAGAACCTCAGAAAAGTAGTTAATCAGTCTGAAAAGAGATACAAAATCATATTAAAGAATTTGGGACTCCCCCAACCCATCCTCAGACAATCTACAAATGGAGAAAATTCAAGACCACAGTCACTCTATCCAGAAACAGATTCCCTACTATAATATCTTCAAAAACAAACTTACACATCATTCAGGAAGTCACAAAGAGCCTCACAGTAACATCTCAGGATTTGCAAGCCACTTTAGCCTTGACTAATATGAATGTTCATGACTCAACAATCAAGAAAAGATAGAATAAGGATGGTGTTTATGAGAGGGTAACCAGGAAGAAACCTCTACCTTCTGAAAAAGAATATTACTGTTCATTTGAGGTTTGCTAAAGTTCATACAGATTCCAAAGATTTCTGGAACAATGTTCTCTTTGAACTTTTTGGCCTCAATGAGAAACATTATCTTGGGTGAAAAGCTCTGAATACAAACAGAAGATTCTCATCCCAACTATTAAGATAAGGGAAGGGAATGTGATTGATGATCTTGGCCTGGTTTGCTGCATCTGGACTGGGATGGCTTGCCATCATGGACACAACTATGAATTCTGCAGTGAATCAGAAGATTATGAAGGACTATGGCAGATCATCCATCTGAGATCTGAAGCTGGACCCGAAAGGGGGTCATGCAATCTGAAATGACCCCAAATATACAAGGAGAACTACTAAAGAATGGCTGTGGCAGAAGAAACTCCATGTTTGGACTAAAACTTCATTAAAAAATAGTGGCAAAACCTGAAGTTCATACAAGGTTGCCTTCAAATGTCACTAAAGCAATTATGGAAGGAATAATGGGCCCAAATTCCCCAAAACCAATGTAAGAGACTACAGGCACTAAATCTAAATGTTCACATATTTTTCATACATGGATATTGACTGCTGAATCAGTTAGGGGTTAATAAATCTTATCAATGCATCATTGCCTGACAGTGATTTCAAAAACCAGGTTGCCTATTGGTCCTTGGAGAGCCAGCATGGTGTAGTTGTTTTGAGTGTTGGACTATGACTCTGGAGACCAGGGTTTGATTCCCAGCTCAGCCACAAAACCCACTGAGTGACCTTAGGCAAGTCACATGCTCTCAACCTCAGGAGAAGGCAGTGGCCAACCTCCCCTGAACAAATCTTGCCAAGAAACCCCCCATGATAGGTTTGCCTTAGGGTCACCATAAATCAGAAATGACTTGAAGGCACATAACGACAACAACAAATTGTTCTTTATCTAGGATTATGGATTAGATTAAGATCTAATAACAGTTTAGGTTGAAATTATATGTGTCTTAATGGATTCACCACCTTTTTCTCATCACTGTAAATCTCAGTAATTTTTTTGTTTTGTTTCCTAAAGCTTTTGGAATTCTGGTTTAATATTATTGTCAAATTCAGTATATTCAGAGTATGTGTAGCTAGGATATTGGTTTTCCTTCCTCCATGTTCCCCTTTTATGAAATTGTACACCTTTGACAGTGATGTGTCTTTTTATTGTTTTATTTTTGTTCAGTACCATGTACCTTGGTGGTGATGACTAAAATAAAAAGAATCTTGACACTTGTAGACTATCCACTTACACAATGTATAAAGTAGATATCTATGGCTGTATCTGCCCTTCAGAAATAATCCAGTTTGACACCACTTTAACTGCCATGTCTCATTGCTGTGTAATTCTGGGAATTGTAGTTTTGTGAAACATTTAGCCTTGTCTGTAATTCTGGGAACTATAGTTTGTTGTGAAACCACAGCGCTCTAACAGACAAAGCTAAATGTTTCACAAAACTGCAATTCCCAGAATTACACAGCACTGAGCCATGGCAGTTAAAGTGGTGTCAAACTGGATTATTTCTGCAGTGTGGATACAGCCATAGACATCTACCTTATATATTTCTCCCTACCTTGTCCCAGGGGGTTCTCTAGAATGTTTCAAACTCTTCAGCTTTGATCGACTTCACATTACACAAAAGGGGTTGACAGCGAGAAGTGTGAATGACTTCCGAGTTCACAAATGGGAAGCATGAAAATGAGTGGTGGGCAAGTCATTCACACTTCTGCCTGTCCCCAGAGGGCATGTAGCAGCTGCTCTTTGCAAGACAATTTCTCAGCCTCCAAAGAGGATTGGACATGTCATCACAGCTTACATTTTTCTGTACTTCTCGGCTGATGCTGGCTGGGGTCACTGACTGGACAGATAGACACTGCTGGGTTGAGTTAAAGCCCCACAGCCACTGCTCACTCACTTGGAACCTGAAGCATTCAGAGCGACGGCTGCACCTGGGGAGATACACACATAGACGAAGACAGGAAAAAGCAAAAAGTCCTTTGACTGCTCTAGAGAGGAAATGGACGTTTTGTTTTAATGTTGCTGGAAGCACAGCTAGGATGCATCTACACTGCAGAAATAATGCTGTTTAATACCACTTTAACTGCCATGACTCCATCCTACAGACTTCTGGGATTTCTTGTTTTGTGAGGCATCGGCACTCTTGGGTAGAGAAAGCTAATGATCTTGTAAAACTACAAATCCCAGGATTCTACAGGATGGAGTTACAGGACTTAAAGTGGTGCCAAAAGTGTGTTATTTCTACAGTGTAAATGCAACCCTCTGTCTGATGCAGAGCTTGGGAAACTTGCTTTTGGGTGGACTACAATTTCCAGAAACTACCAGTCAGCATGGCACAATCCCAGCTGGCTGAAGGATTCTGGGAAGTGTGATCCAAAAAGTAACTTCCAAGCTCTGGATAAACCACAAGTCCGCACCAGCCCAGGTGGACTCTAAAAAACTATCCTTAGCTTCAGAGCTTTCTCATATCACACTTCCCTCCTGAGTTCCCAAACCCTGGTGGAAATGGACAGAAAATGAATAGTTGTTATTACTGGAGGGAGCATGATCACAAAAGGAGGTCTGTGGTTGTAGAGATTCAGTAATCCCCCACTGGACAATGACTATGATATCACTACAAATAGTGAAATCGACATTATAAATGGTCCAACATTTTAGATAAAACTGCATCAAAATGTTATTGGTTACTTTGGTGATCTTCATATAGAGGACTAAAGTAGTGTATACATTTTCATATAAATTAAAAAATAAAGTGTGTGTGTGTGTGTGTGTGTGTATGTGTGTATATATATATATA